TGATCAACTTGCCAACAACCTACAATACCATCTTTGGTCAACCACTACTCAATACTTTCAAGTCATCATCTTAACTTATCTGTGGCAGTGAATTCATCTATTGATGGAGAAATCACACCACCAGGAGGGATCTTAAGCAATCAAGCACTTGATACTTATGGGTTGTCAATAGAGTGCACCAAGAACCATTGGAGCAAGATACCTAACGAGGAAGCAGCCTGGAGACTAACAAAGCTATTGAATAAATCCTAGCAGTGGCAGGCGAGTCGTAATTTTTTTATTAAGCGTGGATTTTGATGTAGGTCGTAGAGTACATAAACTTTTTTGTTTTCTCAACTAAAGAGATGTCAAGAGTCTTCATCAATGTAGCATGTCATCACCTGAATGCCAACCCATTAGCTTGTTGTGTCAAGAAAAAGATGAGGTTGGTGGCCCTTATACTAACAAAACCAATTAAGGAGGTGTAAAAATTACTGGAAGAAGGGTATAACAAAGTGCTTTAATGCCTTGATTTGGTGGCGAATATGGTGATTGTCTAAAAGGCAATCGATAAGTGATAAATGTGTGTGTTTTTACAAGCTTCAATGCAACCTACCCAAAAGATAGCTAACTTAGACCCAAAATTGACGCTCTTATGGATGTAGTGGTCAGACACTCAGTATTGAGTTTTCTTGACGCCTTCTCTAGGTATTACTAAATTAAAATGTATTTGATAGATGCTAGAAAAAACTATGTTCCTCACTTGAGGGATTTTTTATTATAATGTAATGTCTTTCAGGCTTAAAAATATAGGTGTCACATATCAATAAATGTTGGATGTAATTTTTACAAATCCCAAAGGGAAGAATATTAAATTTTATGTTGATAATGTTCCCGTTAAAAGTAAAACACTAAGAAAAATATAAAAAAACATAAGATAAACCCTTAAAATCCTTGAGAAATATAGCATGAAATTAAACCCACTTAAACGTACATTCGAAGCAGGGGACGAAAAATTTTTAGGCTATTTTTGCTAACTTTGGCATGGATCAAAGGCAACCTAAAAAAAATCTAAGCATTAGTAAATATGTATCCCCTTGTAATTTCAAAGAGTTGTAAAAACTAATAGGCTGAATCACATACCTGAGCTTATTCATTTCTAAATTCGGGGAAATGAAGAGACTTTTTCGAAGTTCAAAGGAATGCTAAAATTTTCATATGAAATCATTAGTGCGAGCAGGCATTCACCTAATTTGATTCAAAGCCTAAATTTATGTGATGAGCTCTCGATCTACCTAAGAGTTAGGTCTAAAGTGATTAGTTCAATCATGGTTCGAGAAGAGTGGGAAAGAAATTCTCAATCTACTTTGTCACTCGAGTTATGAGAGGGGTATAACTCACATATCTTATTATGGAGAAATTAATGTCTACTTTCATCGCTTCAGTGTGTAAGCTTCACCCATATTTTCAGAGCAACTGACAACCATACTGAGTATGAGGTCTACTTGTCATGTTACGTCTTGCACGCGAGATCAAGGAATGACGCTTTGTAGTCAAATCGATTTCACAACTGATGGTTAATGTGGTAAAAGAGAAATTCGAAGCAAGAGAAAAAACAAGATGGGACTCGCTAAAGCAAGAATATAAAAAGTAAATTTGTGTAATTTAAAATTGAGCATATTTTAAGAGATAATAATCAGTTAGTAGACATGCTGCCCAGATGTGACCACTTGGTCGACACAATGCCACAAAAGCTCAGGCATCCTTTGATAGAGGAAGCATAAGGCATGGAAGTGACAATCAAGGAGATAGAGAGCTGGGTTGATCCTTACATTGCTTTCTCATAATTAGGGATCTCCCCAGGGAATAAAGGATCCTAAATATTTCAGAATCAAGGTCATGCAATATCTATTTCTAGATGGAGAGCTCTTTTGTCGATCGACGACTTCTTCGTACTTGTAATGTGTGCGAAAGGATGACAAGATATGTGTCCTCAAAAGAAGCAATGAGCGAATGGGGTAGTCACTCTGATGGATGAATGCTAGCAAATCAGATACTTGAAGAAGGCTGTTTTTGGCCGACCCTTATGAAGGATGCGAAAGATTATTCAAAAAGTGTAAATCTGTATAGTCGTAAAGTGACTATCCAGATTATCATTAATTGGACAATACATGATATTGTGAATCCAATGGCTCAGAGCTCACCACTAGTTAGAAACAATCTTAGAGAAGGAAGTAATCTAATGTTGAATGTATGAGGTCGAGTAATTGAGGCCGCGTGCTTGAGGCTAAGTGACCATAGTTGAATGCTCAAGCTCGAATCACCAAAGTTGAGTGCCTGAAGTTGTGTGATCGATCCTTTGATAAGGGAAGAATAAGGCATGGAAGTGGCAATCGAGGAGATAGAGAGCTGGGTTGATCCTTACATCACTTTCTCAAAATTAGGGAACTCCCCCAAGGGAAAAAAGGATCCTAAATTTTTCAGAATCAAAGTCGTGCATTATCTTCTTCTAGATGGAGAGCACTTTTGTTGATCAACGACTTCATTGTACTTGCAATGTGTGCGAAAGGATGACAAGATATGTGTCCTCAAGGAGATGCACTGAGCGAATGTAGTAGTCACTCTGATGGATGAACGCTAGCAAATCAAATGCTTGAAGAAGGCTATTTTTGACCGACCCTTAGGAAGGATGCAAAAAATTATTCAAAAAGTGTAAATCTGTATGGTCGTAAAAGTGAATATCCAGATCATCATTAATTGGACAATCCATGATATTGTGAATCCAATGGCTCGGGGCTCACCATTAGTTAGAAACCATCCCAGAGAAGAAAGAAATCTAATGTTGATTGTATGAAGTTGAGTGACCGAGGCCGCATGCATGAGGCCAAGTGACCATAGTCGAATACTCAAGCCCGAATCACCGTAGTTGGGTGCCTGAAGTTGAGTGATCGAAGCAAAGTTTTTGGAACTAGATCAACAAAAAAGAAGGCATCCAATGATTGAAAAACAAAGTTAATTACAGGGAGCCAAATGTTCGGAAGGATATCATCTAAAAATGGATGTCTTCTTATCTGCATCCCAGCGATTCGATTGGAAGTTGACCTTGAAAGGGTAGGATAAGACCAAAAGCAACATTTAATCGGGATCTTGGCCATTATAAAAAGAGGAATGTAAAAGAGGGCGTTAAAAAAAATCAATTTTTGTAAATAAGAGCTTCAATACAAACATTTCCTTTCCTATCTTTCACACTCTCTGCTCTCACTACTTCTTCTAATTCCTCAAACACACACACACACAACTCTCTCTCTATTTATATAACTTTATATAACTTCCTAAATCTTGGATGCTTTACAATTTATTTTTGAACTTGCTTTTTTTAATTGCATTTAAGCATATCACTAAGTTTATGACTATACAATTTGAGAAGGGGATTCTTTTTAAAATTGTTTGGAGTGCTTGTTGTAAGTAAATTCCACTAATTTCTTAGATTTTCTTTTTTAACAACCAAATCCCTTTTGATGCCTTCATCAGTAGCATCTTTCACATTTAATTGCTTGGCTACTGTTAGACTGTCCTTTTGTTATTAGCAACCTATCTTTAGTAAGGATTGCATTTTGTAGTTATAGGCTTTCCTTAATCACTATAAAAATCCTAGAGAACCTAGGCTAAAAATTTTCATTTTGTAAAATTGCATTAATGGTGACCATATATATTGTGGCAAATCTTAGGGCATTTGTAAGTGCAAAAAGTGAAGTTTTTCATGCTTAAATAGGATTGCGTGAAGGTTTCTCCATCTACTTAGAAAAAAATGATAGAGTTAGGCTTATGGTAATATTGAAAGTTTAATTTATATGTGGGTCATATATGAATTTATGTTGGTTGTGTCTTGAACTACATTAAAATTTTGTTTCGGTAAAATTTGCTCTGTACTTATAGGTTTGTATTTGATTTGTATTTGTTTATCTAATTTATATGCACATGTCGTGATTTTCATAGTCAATAATCCTTTGCTTTCCTGTAGGGTATAATTATTTAGTTAACTTGAATTTGATTACTCTTGCACATAACGTAGGCATTCCTCATATCACCATTATCTTTATACAAAATTTGTGATTTATGTTTACTAATTTAATTGTCTTTTTTTTTTTTCTAGAAAGTTGAACCCATGACTTTATGATGAAAAACTACACTCATAACCACTTTGTCACGCATAAACCCATAAATTATGTTGTTAGTGTAATTGAGTATATCATTTAAAATGTGCTTACAAGTTATAAAGCACACTAACATATCTATTCATATGTTCTATACCATTAATTGGTTATCTTGTGTCTAGGGATGTAAAGGAGTTGAGTGGAGCTCGAGCTACCCTCAGCTTAAGCTTGATTAATTAATCAAATTCAATCTCGAGCTCGAGCTTAATTCTTCGAGCAGGAGCCGGCTCAAGTGTCGGCTCGTTTAATTTGAATGAGAGAAAAAAAAAATAATTTAAACTAGTATTATAATAAATAAACAGAATGAGTATTAATGAGATAATAAGTAAGAAAATACTTGATATAACATGAAAAATATTATTTAACATTTTTAAAAATTTAAAGACAAATTTTTAAACTTTAATGTATTTAAAAAAATATTTTTATTAATTATATTCTTAAATGAACATCAACAGTCAACACTTGCCGGTCATGGATCATCAATCGTGGTGTAAGCCACAACAATTTTCTTTTATCCAACTTTTCTGATTTAATTAATTGATAGATTAGCATGAACAACAATTTCTTACATTTCTTTACATTCTAGAAAAGAAATTATTAAAAATAATTTGGGCAAATTTTGACTGAAAAATCTAAAATGATTCTCAACATTATATGGCAAATTTTAATAAATTTTAAGATAAATTAAACCAGTTATATGATATATATTTTTCGCCAAAAAAAAGTAATATTTCATCCATCCCTCAATTTTGTTTGCATTAAATAGAATATAATCTTTTATCTCTTTTAATCGTGTTAAAGCACACGAAAACTCTTTTGTTAAAAGGGGAATCTTTCTCGCTCGCCTGCTTTACAATCTTCTACAAAAGCCTTATTTTGTCTGCAGAAATACTTAGAGGGTGTGGATTTCTGCTGTTCTTCGTGAATCCCCAGTTTCTCTAATCGCACTTATATAGCAGTCATTTCCCTATCCTTTCCTCGCCCATTTTCGCGAAGCAGGCTTTTTTCCTCATTAGAATGCCAAAGGTTACCCCATCAGAAGGACCAAATAAGAAGAGGAGTCTGGAGAGAGGTAAATGAAATTGCTCTCCTTTTGAGCTTGAATCGCTGCTTCTCGCTTCGACTCGGTTTCTCTTCCATTTCATCACCTTTGATGATTCCTGAGGGCAAGGTGCTTCTTTTAGGGCTATAAGCTTGATTCTAGGTGGGCTTGAAGAGCTTCGATTTTATCTTTGGGGGAAAGAAGGAAGCGGTGGAGAGAATGGTGGCCGTTGGTGTTGAAGAGAAGAGTTTGATAGGTTTCATCATGGAGAACAGTTGTGCTGTTCTTCTCCAAGAGCTTCAGGTTTCTCTCTCTCTCTCTCCCTTTAAAGCAAGCCACGCTGCTCTTGTTACAGATATGATCTGCAGTTTGCTTGAGATCGATTAGTTCTGAAAAATTTTATTGGAGGGGAGCCTTATTTCTTGCTGTTGGCAGAGTAGTCTTTCAAAATTAATTTTAATCTTCATTCCATTCATCAAGGAGTAGTATCTCCAGCACAAATTTTTCTGCTTTGCCATCTAGAAAGAAAAAAAAAAAGAAATCTTTCGTTTTCTAAACTCAAAGGAAATTGGTCCAAAAATTGTTCGTTTGCAATTACTCACATCAATTTTAAAATTCATACTTTTATTGTTTCTTTCTTAATCAAAATGATTTTTGTGATTATCAATGAATAGAATATCTGTAAATAGATCTCGCTTTTTGGAAGTAAAGAAGGAGACATTAGTGGTCAAAATTTTTCAAATTTTAATTGTTCTGCACCTTTCTTAACTATTTCTACATGAGAGCAGAACATCTGGGATGAGATTGGGGAAAGCAAAGCAGACCAAGACGAATTACTTTTAGAGATTGAAAAAGAATGTCAGCAAGTCTACCAGAGGAAGGTTGACGAAGCCAACTGTACGAAGGCAAAGCTGTATAAGTTGGTAGCAACTAAAGAGGCAGAGTTAGCTGCTCTCATGGAGTCCCTCGGCGAACAAACTCCGTATTCTCAGGTATTGATAGGGGAATAAGGGAGCACTAATTAATCTAGTAAATGATGAGCACGATGTGGATCAGTTAGCTGAATGGCTATGATTGATCTGGCCACCTTATCAATTAATATTGATTTTAATAGTTTATGTTTTCTCTCTGCGATTAATGGCAATAATCTTATCCAATTACGTAGATCATGTTTCTATGAATGTTGATTTTCAATTTGTTTTGCTGTTTTTTTTTTTTTGCAATTCATAATAATCTTTTTTTATGCTAACTCAAAAATAATTATTTTTCATTTTTAATCCTATGGTATTACTTTTATCTTTTCATCTATGCATTTTTCTCATTCACTGTAGATGTCCGACGTAAGATACATTTGTTAATGTTATATGCTGAATACAGTTACGTTTTAAAAATTAAAAACATTTATAGAGGATTTGATATGGCTGCTGTGAGAAAAATTCCCTGTTATAAAGGCTGGAGATCGTTTTCTTAGAAGAGTAACTTAGCTGGTTTAATCCACTTAAAGTTGACATTGAAAACATCATTAATTAATTAATTAAATATATGCTTCATTTATGTAAATATGTATATGAAAAAAAATATTTGGATTTAGTTTTCCCATAGTTTTTTATTTTTATCTAATATGATTATAAGTGTTGAATCGAAAGTTGTTTGTGAATCCCACCCAAGGAATAGAGTGTAAAAAAGAGGGAGGGAGGGAGGGAGCAATCAATTATGTTTTATTCATAAAAGCTTTTCATGCTTATAGAGGGGAGGACACAATGATGATATTACATGTTTACCCATGTTTGGAAGGGTTCTGTATTAGATTATTTCTGATACTTTACATGTACGAGCTTATCTCTAGCTAAACTTAGCTGGCTTCGGGTCAACAGAATCAGCTCGCTCAACAGAGTTTGGTCGGTATGAGTTGATCGACTTATCTGGCTTGGCTATCGATCCTTGATAATTGATGAGAACTGTCTAGGGCATCCATGAGATTGTTGGAGATGTTGTGAAACTGAATCTTCCTTTGGATCGACTCTACTAGAGGATAGACTATCATATTTGGTCGATTTTCTTATAATGGTTGGTTCAGATACTTTTTTATCTTGTTTCTGGTCGAATGGTCCGTGCTTGGATCAACCAGTCATCTTTTTGTTTGCATCATGGTTTTGGTTGATTTTTCGCCTCGTTAGCTTGTTTTTTATACTTTTTTCAGCCGATCAAGGGGGGCTCATGAGCAATGAGCTAGCTTTCATTGTACTCTTCTCTTCTAGACCGTTGGATCTCGTTAAGATAAGTATTGACACTTTTTGATGTGCATATTTTAATTCTTCAATTTTCTTACTTTTTGAAAGTGACACCGGATAAGAATAAGATAATTTAATATAGAACTAGATTGCATTCAATTTTAATTAATGATTCAATAACATAGCTTTCTTGATTTTGGCGCATTCGATTCTTATAAATAGGGCGCGATGGAATCCTTCCCATTCCTAGTTTTTTTCGTGCTTTCCTTATTTGAGTCGGCTTGCTTCCGAGTTTTAGGATAAAGAACTGGTCAAAATTTTACAGTGACGTTTCAAACAAAAATCTATTTTGCTTCGTCTTCCAAAAACCGAAAGAACTGGACCAGTCAGAGGCGAGAGGAAGAAGAAAGTCATTATGAAGAAGATAAAGTCTACAATCCGACTGTCAGCTCAGGTGGGATTGTCTGATTCTGTCATTAGCACTAAGGGAAAAGCTTTTAGCCGATCAACCTGACCTTTGACCTGATTGCCCAACCATTTGCTACACAACAAGATCCTCTGGTTGACCCGATCACTCAAATGACTTTTAGAGACCTCCCTCCACTTTCACCGGTGCCTGCTGGTGAGGTTGCTATCTTGATTATGACATTTGAGTGCAATTGGCTCCCAAGTGAGATTGGCTTAAGGCTTGTTTGTGGGATTTGATCTTTCTTTGAAGTCTTTTTATTTTATAATGTTTTTTGGTGCAGATGACTTAACTTTGGTAATCCTGAATGATGATCTGGCTTCGATTTCTGTGGTTGAAAAGCAACTGGGTACTGGTGATAGCAGAACAAGCACCCGGCGAAGGCCTCCTAACCCCATTCCCCCCGCCCCCCTCTCCCTACAGAATGTGAGGAAGCAACTGACCAAGTCAGGACATCCCTTGGGTCGCTTGCTCGTCGTGCAGACAAAATTGAGTGCTCTTTTGCTTAGTTTACAGGGATCGAGCGGTGCGAGGATATGCGAAAGTTATCAACTCGTATGGAGAAGATAGAGAGGTTGAAGGAGATGGTGGCGACTATTCATTGGGAGATGCCGGTTGTCTGAGAGAAATCTTTGATGTTTCGGGCTTAAGCCAAGTCAGATTGTCGGAGTTAGTTTAGGTCTAGAGGGGAGTTCTTGCATACTAGACTGCTTCAATTGAGGTATGTATCGGCTAAAGTGATGATTGATGTCATCCTGACTAATTTTTGAGTGATTTATTTTAATTTTAATTATCTTTTTCAGAATAAAATTATTTTCTTGTTTCATTTTTTGTGCTGATGTGATCCCGCTATCAGCTCATTATGAAAATGGATGTTGAGTTATGTTTTTACCCATGTGCGATGGTTAGACTTCTTCTGTTTCCTAATATATAATGGGCGTAAGGTTCCGAGATCACACATCCTCTGCATTTTCCCCTTCCTTTCGTTATCCCGGTCTTTTGTCTTTGTGCTTTACTAAATGGCTCTTTGATACTCTCCACAATATTTCAGATCAGTCACCCCGAGCGATCGATTTTGGATGACCGAACGCAAAGTTGACTTGTTACAGGAGACCTGCACCTTCAACCATGCTATCAAGCACCATCTCACCAATGTGGTCGATCGAGCTTTGTACGGTGTCGAGCTCTTGTTCTACAAAGATCAGTTTTGGTTTGGTCTTCGACTGCCACTTTATCTCGAGTTGTGTTCCATCTTTGCCAACTATGACATCATCCCCGCCCAGATCAAGCCCAACTCTATCACAATCATTATGACCCTCATTATGTTCTGTCGTCTGTCAAGAATCATGCGGTCCTTGAGCTCTTCAATCATTTGTTTTCGTTTTAGGTCGACACAGACGGGTTCTACTGATTTGCTTTGTTCTACAAATTCCACCATTTGGGGTCAAAAATAAAGTGAAGGACTGGAAGCCTTGCTTTTGTTTGGGTTCCTTCATGTAGAGGTGGTATATCTAGATAGACCTGCCTGAGGAAGCCTCATCAAAAATGAAGTGGAAAGCGTCGGTTAGGGTGGAGTCTAACCAAATTATAGGACAAAAGTTATCGGTCCACCATATATTGAGTCAGTGCTTATTAATAGGATGTTGTAGTCGGACACCTTCAAGGAGATGACCGAAGAATATTGGAATGCCTTTGATTCCTGCAAGGCTGAGAGGGACGCGATGGAGGCTGCTTTGCTAACCAAGAAGAAGGCCTGCTTGGTTTCTCTCCTTGAAACTACTAAAGTAGCAAATCAATCAGTGCCTAAGGTGGAAGCTTGGACGGTGCAGAATTTGTTTGCTTTGTTTCTTATTCAACTTTTATTTTTAATTGAATTGTGACAGAAGAGCTAATCCCCATTAAGAGGTCAACGTTGTTGGCGCCAACTAAAGTTCTCTTTAGCTTGTAGGTCTTTTGGGTGTATAGTAGTGGTATGCAAAGAGGAAGAGAAGCCATGGGAAGTCAAGCTGCCATGAGGGGGAAGCTTCGGTGGGAAGGTAGCAAGCTTGCCACTTTGATATTCATCAAGATATTAATGAGGGATGAGGTCAGTCGCCTTGTTCTTAGTGGCTTGACTGAATATCTTCAAGGAGACCGCCTGGCGGGGTTGTCGTCAGAGCAAACTGAAGAGTTAAATCTGCCTGGGCCAGTCAGCCACGAGGAGTGTCCCTGTGATGGGAAAGCCCCAACGACCAACTCGAGCAAATTGTCCATTGGTTCCTCTCAGAAAAAAAAATGTAAGGAGCCCTCATTCAAGTGGATCTCGATGCAAGGCGAGGAATCAAATGTGAGCAAGAGCTCAAGGTAAGTTTATGTTGATAAACCTCCGAAGAGACTAATATTCTGACTCTGTTGTAGCGGCTTTTTGCCCCTCCATGCTAGCAGACATGATATGATCTCCCTTCTTCAGAGAGACACTTCTTAAGCAGAGTTTGCTATTCATGTCTCGAACGACTGATAGATATCATTTAATGGTCTGGAAAGCTTCTCATCTTTAGTCGACCATCCTTCATCGGGAGCACCATGAAAGACTAAATATTGAGTAGAAGTTGGTTGAGGCTGAAGAAAGCTGCAACAAAGTTGCTTAGGTAGCCGGGGTTGCTTTAGACCACTCAAGAGGAAAACTAAGTCATGAAAGACCAAATGGCAACAATGAAGACTCAAGATGAGTTTTCTGTCAAGCTCTCCTCCCATCTAGCTTAAGTGACTCTTATTACAGAGAAGTGCAGAGATAGGACCTCCTTTGATGTTGGTTGTCTGGCGAAGGCTCAACTGGTTTCTCCTAAAAGGATTGATATAGGGAAATTTTTCACATTGATATTTGACTCAGGAGAGTTGGAGGACTAGAGCAATCAAGAAGATGGTGGGTCGTAAAATATGTAGCTGCTTTCGATTTTCTCTGTAATTTTGCTTAAAGAGATTTTTTTTGCCTAACAATTGTAAAAAAAGATGTTAGAATAATTGTAAACCACTTTTTGATTATGAATGAAAAATAAAATTTTTTGGTTGGTCCCACATTTACTTTTGCTCTTTACCTTTACTATGTATATATATTTTTTATATCCTCATATTAAATGATCTGATTTTTTATGAGTGTCTGATTATGAGGATTGATGAGTCAACAAATTAAGAAATTTTTTGGCCAGTTCACTGAGTTGTTGACCAGCTCGATTCATACACCACCCATGTCTCGGTCGCTCGATTAAGTCGTCACATTAGACCCAGATGTATTAAGCAGATCTTATTGCAGTCTTCACGTGTAACCATCCAGACTTGTTCCTAGGGTGATTCATATGCTATCTATTGTAGATCTTGTCACTAATGGGTAGAGAATCTTGTTGTCAGAGCTTGACCAATTCCAAGGTATGAAACATGAGTTTTTATGATGCATGAGTATTTTG